CTGTCCCCTCCTCTGGACCCTGCCCCTCTCCTCTGGGACCCCACACCCGTCCTCCTCCTCCAGGACCCCTCCCCTCTTCCTGGTGCAGCCCAGCTCCCACTTCCCTCTCTCCTTCTGCCTCCCCACACTCAATGATGTTCTCACCTCTTGCCTCTCACTCTCTGGAACATGCCCCCTCACTCCCTCCCTGGCTCTGTCACCCCGTCTACCCGTCACCCTTTTCTTGTCTCGTGTCTCCCCCTTCAGTAATGCCCAGGCCCCTGGCAGCTTCATCTTCGGCTTAATCTCATCACTCACTTCCCAATCTCCAGAGGGAGGAGACAACAACGCTTCCCTGGGGTGACGGTGCCTTCCAGACCTCATGTGTAACAGCAGTGTCTGAGCTGAGCTGAGTCTGCCTTGGGGCTCACACCCCACACTGCGGGGTGAGCCAGGGAGCTGGGCGGGTCACTGCCTCGGGCACGCCCATGGTGACCCCTCCTTTGCGCACGAACACAATCATGAGAAGCCCTTGCGCCTCTCCGCCACTGCTTCATCCACTGAACTCTGGGTGTGGGTGGGGTGGAGTTCAGGCACAGGCAGGCACACACATTCTGGAGTGTTTCATGGAAAGAGAGCATGCCCTTGCCAGGAGGGCAGGCAAGTGGGTAGGAGGGGTGCCGCCTTGCTGGCCTGAGGGTAGCCAGCTGTCTTGCCTTCAGCACAGGAAGTCCCACATCCTGGGAAGCCCCTCAGTCCTGGGCAGCTGGCTGCTGGGCTCCAAGTCTCTAGAGTCTTGACATGCAGGGAGGAATGGCACAGGGGAGGGGAAGGGGAGGCTGTCCTTGGGGGGACTTGCATGGGCAGACACAGTGGCCCTCGAGCTAGGCATGTCAGGGTGCAGGGGTCCACAGCCAGTGAGTGCATGGGGTCTGTGGGCGGGTGGGTAGAGGGACCACCCACCAGCCCCCACCTGTCCTTCCCAGTTGCTGGCCGGGGTCAAGTGGTCACTGTTGTCCCTTGTGGATGGTGCCGCCGAGGCCGGAACCCACTCCTCCCTTCTGCACCGGTACCCAAACCTCACCCCAGAGACTCAGCTCCCAGGTGTGAGCCTCAGCTGCTGCCACTTGCACGGGGTGGGGGTGGGGGTGGGGGAGGGGTGGGAGGAGCCCATCTATGGTGCCTGGCCTGACCTCAGCTGCTCCCACCTGTGGGGGGTAGGGGAAGAACCCATCTATGGTGCTGACCTCTGACCTCCACTATGGAAAGATGCTCCAGGACAGAGAAGGGCTAAGTCCCAGCAGTCCAGCAGCTCCAGACCACATTTGGCAGAGGCTGAGAGGGTTGCCTCTGCACTGTCTCTCCATCTCTTGTTGCCAGTGTGGTTGAATTCACACAATTTAAGGTACATATGATGAGATTTCACATAATAACAATGACAACCCCATTTCAAATGTTTCCTGGGGCATGCACCCCTCTGGAAGTGTCACACACATCACTGAATGAAACCCTCACAACCACCCTGTGAGGCAGGTTTACTGTCTCCTATCTCACAGACGGGAACGTAAAGGGTCGGAGAAGCTGAGTGACTGCTCTCAGGCAGGAGCTCAGGCCTCCTGCTCCCAGCCCTCTACAGAGGCAGAGGGGACACTGCCTGGGTGTCAATTCCAAAGCAGACCTAGAGGTGCCCTGGGGCCAGGGACTCTACAAAGGCTGGCCTGTCCTCCTCCCTCACTGCCATGAACAGCCTCAGGGCCCAGGACAAAGGCATCCCTCCACTTGCTGGGGCCACAGCGGCGAGACATGTGCTCTGCATAAAATGCTGGTGTTCACGGCCAGCATCCCTGTGACCCCGGGCACAGTCGAGCTTGCTCATCACGTGACCCCTGCTCTTCCAAAACCCAGCTGGGAGCAGAAGGATGCCCCTGAAGAGGAAGCCGAACGCCACCCACAGTCCACACAGTCCCACCCGTCTATTCTTCCACAAGCACCACAAGATTGGCAGGCACCCTGCCCTGTCCCACACCATCCTGTGGGCTCCCTTCATGGAGGTGCTGGGACCAGGTGTGTGGAGCACTGCAGAAGCTCATGTGGACATGTCCTATGAGCCCGGCCCCAGGTTTCCTCACCACAGGAGGGCTGTGAGTGTGTGTGCACACACGTGTGTTTGTGTCTGCGTGCTTCCCAGGCTCCTAAAATCCGACAGCCTGGGCACACAGAGCCACTGGAAACAAGAACACAGGGCTGGTGGCCTCCATGTCCAGATGGTGGGAAAGGCAACATCCAACTTGGAATACTTCCACTGAGATTCCCCAGAGTCAGTAAGAGGAAACGTTGGGGTTCATGGGATGAGCTTTAGTTGCCCGGAGGACTCATGAGAACTCCTTGCTCCACAGCAATGACAGGACTGCGTGAGCACCAGTGAAGTCCCTGCTGAGATGACAGCGGGTCGTCGTAATCACAGTGATGGTGCTCTGTCCAGCCTGGCCTTGGGATGCCTCATTATGCTGTTCCTTCCTTTGTCCCAGACTCTCCCACATTATGACACCTGGCAGAGGCTGAGTCTCTGGTGGACAGGCCTTTTCCCGGGGGCTGCTGAGGGTCAAAGGGCTCCCAGAGGTGTGGCCTGACCTGTGCCATCCCTTTGCTGGGCGACTCGCCCTCCCCTGCTGGCTGCAACCCATGATGGGAGGTAGCTTCACCACTTGTCTCCATAGTATGCAGCGCGTGACTACTGCAGGACGAGTGGCCACTGTGTGCCAGGCCTGGGACGAAGAGGCAAAATGAGTTTCCTTATTTAATCCTCTCAACACCCCACTTACAGCAGGTGCTATGGTTATTCCCATTTTGCAGGTAAGAAAGCAGAGGTCCAGAGAGGCCAAATGACATGTCAGAGGCCACACAGTGGGGAGTCTGACTTGTAAGCCACTACTGCCTGCTGGGTGACCTGGAGAGTGGATGGGGCTGGGAAGCTGCTGCCCTGAACAGTCTCCCATGGTGAAGGCTCACCCCTCAGTCAACGTGCCAGGACGGTGTGAGAACTGTGGTCAGAGGTCCCAGGGCTTCCAGGATCTGCTTGATTGCTACAGTTTCATTCTCTCCAGTTAAGATGATTGGCCAGGCATGGTGGCTCACACCTATCATCCCAGCACTTTGGGAGGCCAAGGCAAGAGGATTGCCAAAGCCCAGGAGTTCAAGACCAGCCTGGACAACTTGGAGAACACCATCTTTACAATAAATGAAAAAAATTAGCCCAACCTGGTGGTACACACCTGTAGTCCCAATGACTTGTAAGGCTGAGGCAGAAGGATCACCTGAGTCCAGCAGGTTGAGGCTGCGGTGGCCATGATTGTGCCACTGTTCTCCAGCCTGAGTGACAGTGAGACTCTGACTCAAAAAAAAAAAAAATCATTGATTGACTGGTTCCAAATTTTCTCTACTGTGGTAAAAGCTATAACACATCCATTGTTCCATTTTAGTCATTTTAAGAGTGCAGTTCAGTGGGACAGATTTCATTCCTGGCGTTGTGCAACTATCCAAGCTTTTCTGTCACTCACAGAATGCTATAACCATGAAGCGGTCACTCCTGCTCCTGCCCCTGAGCCACTGCAACCTTTGACCTTTCTGTCTATGGGTTTGCCTGTTCTAGATGCTCAAGTGAGTGGAATCACTCAGCATCACTTAGCATGATGTTTCAAGGCTCACCTGTGTCATAGCATGTCAGAACACCATCCTTGCTGTGACCAGGGAGGATTCCATCCTATAAATGGACCACACTGGTGTACCTGTTCAAGGTTCACCCATGTCAAAGCATGTCAAACTCCATCCTTCTGTGACTGGGGAGTGTTCCATCCTGTAAATGAATCATGCTGGTGTACCCATTCAAGGCTCACCCATGTTGTAGGGTGTCAGAACGCCAACCTTCTTGTGACTGGAGAGTATTCTCTTGTGTGGAAGGAACACGTTGGTGTACCTGTTCACGCCATCAGCCATGCTGAGGGTGCTGGGCCAGCACCTCCCCTGCTTCCACAGAGCCCTCAGACCCTCATGGGGTTCCCTTCCCCAGAGGGACTCTCAGCTAGGTGCACATCAGCCTCACCCAGGGTTTTAAGAGACACACCGTTCTCCACCCAGGGCATCTCTGACTTTGGTGGTCTGAGGTGGTGAGAGCCCCTCTCCTGTGATCGTCTCCCTAGTCCTCCCAGGGCAGGAGGGTGCGGGCCGAGGTGGGGTGGGAGAGATGGGGGGGAGGCCCTTCCTGTTTACCATATATCACTGGGGAGCAGTCCTGCTCCCCAGTGATATATGGTAAACAGGAAGCCCCCCCAATCAAGGGCA